ACAATTCAAAAGACAGCATCTTCGTACCGACCGCCGATAGAACGTCAAATGGTACTTGGGCTTGTATTTTTCTACAGTCTCCCCTTTAAAATGTCAAGGTAGTTATACCTCAAAATAAAACACTATCCTTTTTGGAACATTTTACCGTGAATCAATTCTCTGACGGTTACGTTTAAGGAACACTTTGTGCTGAAGAATTCAATGCTACCACGTAATGAATGCACGTGGCACTTTTCTGTTAAATGACCGTATTGTCCCTGTTTCATAAATCTTGTTTTTGATAAGTAAGATGAATGTTACACTCTTTAGAGTCGGTAAAGGCTGGAAGGTCCTTGTAGAAAAAAAAGAGATGATGACATTATAAGAAAAAGCAGAGTCTTGAAACGCTTTCAAGTGCAAAGAGTTTTTGTGCCAACATTCTTTCCGTCAGAGCCAATCCAGTTTATAGTTTATTATGCAGTTCTGAGGACGAAAATGCAGATTGCTTAGGTCTTAATCTTTTTTCCTTAGAATCGTAGAAGTAAAATGATGTTATGCGTCTTTTGCGTGACGCACACAAAGGACAGCCCGGATATGACTCAAAAACACCTTCGCCGATTTCCAGCATAATTTGGACCGAATTATTTTTCTGTAAAATGTAAGATTTGAGGTGGCTTCCTTTCTCCAAGTTTACAGACTAATTTTTTTATTTGTTCCTAATTTCTGTCATACGATAAGCGCATTACAAGTTATAAAATCGGTTTGACGTATTTTCGGGTATGATGTTTAAAGAAATTAAAGCACAACATAATGTAGCCCTATGATTATAAGCATGGTTAAATAGTTTATCTTCGCGCGAAAAACTTATTAATACGAATGATTGGTGCTGTTGGCAAACAACGCTTCTGCGCTTTTGTTGAAATGGAATTACTCTGTATACATCTAGCAGGTTGATGTTGCAATAAAACTCTGTAATTGTGTTAGAGAAGTATCAAAGTTTGAATCTCAGCCAGATTACACGCTGTTATGAATAAGGGTTTTCGTAATTCCCTCAGTCTGCCAGGTAAACGGCGGGACAGTTTATTTAAATAGACCACTACCAAATCTTATGAAGTCCTTATCAGCTCAACGTCCATCATCTTGCTATCTTACTCTGATAGGCATTCAGGTCTTCAGTATAAGCCATAAAGTTGTAACAGAATTGTTTATTACCTAAGAACTGTTAATCAGAATTTGGCACAGAGATACATCGTTAATATTCTTGATTTGTGAACTTTTTGAATTATATTTTTTAGAAGCTGTTAGTCGCGTGGCTGACCAAGAAATATCCTACCTTTAAATTAATCATAAATATAGGATTTGAGACTTTCGCGGCGAGTACAATCAATAAAATCTTCTCGGGCAATCAGCCGCGTCAACTGGTTACCGTAGTAAACCGACGTTTCGGGAACCAACTCTGTCCCCATCATCAGGTTAACCAGTTGACGCGACTGATTGCCCGAGAAGATTTTATTAATCAGAAATAACTACCGCGTTTACATTTGGCCCTAAACTGATTATTTCCCTTGAAGTTGAACCACTCGTTCAAAATGAACTGTGAATAGGCAAAGGAGTTTTGTCTATGAGAATTGAAGAAGTTCGAATAAAGTGCATCGTGAATTACTGTGAAGTGGTAGGAAGTGTGTGAGTCTAATTTGAGATACAGTTCTCACTATTCACTAAAGAGACTGAAGAAGAACTCGAATTTTTGCGTGGGAACGTGTTAACACGACACACATGAAAGTAGAACGTATGAACCTTTCTGTTACTTCGAGGTTCTTGTCCGCTGTGCCGGAACAATATGAGCTTCAGTGCTAAAAGATGGGAAAAGTTGCTATAATGACTCGTATTTTAAATTCACCGAAGGATAAATAAATATCTAGACATCACTTAACACTAGGAAATATATCGGTGGTGTGAACGATGATCTTGAACTCTTTTAAGAAGGAATTCGCATAGAATAACATTTCAAAGTTTCTTTTCAAGAACTTCTTCGTTTGTATATAAAACATTTGCTGAAATGGTGTAAGCATTGGTGGTTTTCCTAACCGCTCACTGAAGAGCAATGACCACATAAATATGTCATCCTCTCTACTTTAGTTAACATTTTATAGTTTTGCCATGGTTACAAATGATCAGTAACATTTCTAATGGAATACACTTCCGTTTACGTCCATGTTAGAAAAAGAGAGAGATGTATTTTGGCTAGTCTGTACGATCACCAGCCATGTTATTGCACGTAATGGAAAATGTTATGAATCGAATGCGGCTATGCACCGCGTTGATGGACGATATCTGACAGGTGTTATTTTTTAACAAACAACTTTATTATAATGTTCCGCGTTAACCCTTCTGCCGCTTGGTCGCTGGGACCGTGGGTTCGAATCCCACTCAAGCCATGGATGTTTGTCCGCATTTTTCTGTGTTGTGTTGTCCTGTGTACAGGTAGAAGCCTTGCGACGGGCCGATCCCTCATCCAAGGAGTCCTATCAAATGTCCATAGATCAAGCCAACGAAAAGTTGGGACCCGCAGTGCTCAGGCACTTGAAGAACGGGTCGTTCCCAGTATCCAAGTATCCTCGTTAACGAGGAAAGTTGTCTTTCAAGTCACATTACTTTTAATAACTTTAATAAACTGTGGTCCACCATTTTATCTTTTAAAATGTCGTATGAACGTTGCCCGACTCTTTGCGAGCAAATTGGCTACCAAAAAAGGAAAATTTAGCGTCAGACTAAAGCTTGTTACCTGTTATAAGTGAAACAAGAATAACCTGTCAGTTTATTCACCACTTCAGTTTACAGAATTATATTACAAAAAAATGTATTTAGGCCTACATTTACTGTTTTGTTTCCAAGGTAAGCGATGTAATCAGTTTTCAGAACGCATCCACTGTTGCGAGCTGAAAGCAAAAATATTGCTACAGAACGTGAACCTTTTGACATAATTCAAGTTAACTCCGTTGCTCATTTAGCAACCGGTTTAATTACAGGAAGACTGGTATGTCGTTTGTACAGAGTCAAAGGTAATTCCAATCTCATTAGGTGGATATATTCTCGAACACAAGAAAATATAAGTTTGTAGCATCAAATGAAATGGGAATATGATCGGGTAATATCTGAAGCCATATTAGATTACACACAGAGTAATCACTTAAGCTTTAAGCTTTCTTTAGTAGATACTGAGTCTGACAAGCCTGTGCTGCAGTTTTGTATAATCCGCAGATCACATTTTCACCATCTTCAACGTGGAATCGTAGAAACGCGTAGTCCTTTTTCGTGTCGTCACGGAAACTGTCAAGAAGGGCTCTTATTTCGGGCTAGGTACTTATAAATTAAGATAGACAAATAAAGGTAGCTAATAAATAATTTTAAAATGTGGAAAAGTTCAAAAATTTATGGACAACATTCGTATTTACGTAAGAATTACGACCACATTAAATTTAGGAACACCTTGCTACTATTCAGTTCAGAAGTTTTATCTTCCCACCTCTTTTAAGGAAATGTAAAGACTGATATTTCGCTAAGGCTGTACACGCAGAACTGTAAAACTAATTTTTGCCTGTTCTTTTATGTGGATGCTAAAATTCGTCCGTCACATTAAGCGAAGAACACAGATCGAATGCTTTCGTCATTTACGGTTTTATTAATTTATTTACAATTAAATTAATTCACTTAGCATATCATTTATTTTATGTCATATCTGATCTGCTTTGATGTGTTTCGGGCCAAATTTTATGTCTTCAGACTTCTTGCTACCTGTGAGCTGTTATGCCATTACTAGGTTGTTGTGCCGTTGTTAAACAAAAAATTATCTTACTTATAAATATCTGTATAAAAAAGGCTTCTGCGGTAGACAATGGTCTTACAGAGGACTCATGTGGTTTAAATTATTGTGATGTAGTGAGACTTTATGGACTTGCAACCGCTGAAGACCCCATCTCTCATCCCCAAAATGATCCATGAGAGAACACGGAGCAGCGATGGAATGATATTGACATCAGAAAGCCGAAGGGTGTGAAGAAACACGTCCCAGTACCACTTTGTCCACAGCAAAACCTGCATGGACTGCTGTAAACGCTAACCTGAGCCCCCAAGGTTAGAAGCCTGCGTGAGGTACTGGCTGACTCAGACGGACATTCGTCAGCTTCACACCGCGGAATCCTGAGTTCTAGCCCACGGGAGGCTACATATTATTTGTGGTGACCAAAGTGGTTCTGAGAGGTTTTTGTCTCTGAGTCCTTCGGTTTTATTGTCTGTATCATTCCACCGTTTCTCCATTTTCACTTACGTGTCATGGCTGCCTCTCCGTAGCCACACACATAATCTCCGCCCTTCGGAACAATAGCAACTTTGAAAGAGACGTGGAGATAGATTTCTACCATGACCAATCACGTTTCACCAAAATTCTGAGGCTCGGGAATTTTTAAATTTGAACCCGTGAATTACTATGTTAACTGCCTAGTTTGTGCGTCTGTAGTAAACAAATCTAATCATTGTGTATGAACGGTAATGTGCTAAATTAGCCCAGAAAAATATTTAAAGGTGTTTTCATAAAACGTACTGAAAGTTGTGGGCATTAAGAAGCACGAACAAAATTAATTTGAAAAATTGTTATAAAAATTGACATATAAATGTGACACTGATTTATTGAAATTAATTTTATTTCTTTCTAGGTAAGCGGCTTTAATTTTGGCGAACTGGATTTGACTTTTAAGGTAAAAGAATGAACAACTTACTTTGTAACATATTAAGTTATTTATTTCCATGAAGTATGCTGAATTTGGAATTTGGTGGGAAACTAAGATCATGAGTTGATAAATGTACTGAATTGTTTTTATCTTTCGTTTACAGAGAAGCGAGTCGAATGAAATTATTTTATAAAAAGTTACTGCGTATTTTAGAAATATTAAAGTCCGTTAGTTACGTAAAAGTATTTAAAACTGACTTACTACACACAAACTATGTCTAGTTATTGTCTCTAAAGTAATGTATATTACGCATTTTTAAGCTTTAGAGCGGAATGTCTATAAAAATTATTCATACGAGTAAAGATTTATAGGACCATTAGTAGCACGTGCTAAGAAATTGCATAGCGAGGACCTTCATGAGATTATTCTTATTAAATATTATCATTGGATATCGATCGCTTTATGCATTACACCTTATTGGTCTCTTAGTAACCACCAGGCACAGGGGAGACTTTAGAAATAACTAACACAACGTTTGCTTAGTTTCGTAACTTTTTTTTGTTATTTCATGTTTGATGAATTTGATCATTACATAATAAAAGCCACTGGTATATCTTTTAATGATAGAGACTAGTCACGGCTGGGACTAGAAGTGTTTTGAGCCACTTTTACACTCACGTGTCTGACATGAATCTCACTGTTATCATTGACCATATGACCTCTTCAGCATATACTTTCCGTTTGTATTCTGCAAAAGCAAAATCCGCATCGAAGGTGTCCGTCATTATCACTACTTTTAAATCCTACACGATATCGGCTTATCGACCATCACAAACAGATCAGAGTCCATTATCAGCAGCTCATAACGTCCACCATATGTTTCATGAAGCTGTAAGTGTTCGCTTTGTTTTCATTAAATAAAGCGTGCCCCTAAAAAAATCTTCTCACATTCTCAGACGCCATATTTGTTATTTTGAATCACTCATTGAACGTCATATTTATTTATCCATTTTGAAAACCCTGTCTACCTCGAAGATGACTGTCTTCTAGGTTGTTGTGCCGTGTAGTCTATAGTTTGACGATCGCCCTGATGATGGAGGCAGTAAGCACCTCCGAAAGCAGGTCAAACTAAAACATTGCAGAAGACAGTTAACTTCTAATGCTACCAATTTTTCACGACCAGGTAGCAGGATACAGCATATTTGATATTCAGTACACCCCATGCCGGTTAGAAAGTATTTGAGATACGAGATTTGAGGTTATCATGCCGGTAAAAGATGTCGATGTTTTTTGGGTTGTAAAGTCGCGTGTAGATAGTAACATTTCAGAGATTCTTGTGAAACGACAATGAAACTTGGGGATCCATTAAACCCGTTATTTTTTTTTAAATCGACCATTTTCCATGAACGCAGTCTATTACTAGAAGTCATTAAAGAAACTTGTGCCAGTCAGGTGATTTATACTAATTTTGTAATTTTTAGCTAGTGATCTGTTAATGGACGCATTTCGACGTAATGTATATATTTTGAACATATTTGTTGTACCTAGAAATATTTAAACCGCGTGGCTATTTTTCTGTTACTTCCATGAAATCATATGAGGAGAGTTTTGGCGAACAAGGAAAGTTTTAAGAACAAACGTTGGTTTACTGCACTTCATTCTCAATTTTAAATAAGATGTTTACAAATTCTTGCGTTGGAGCTGGCGCGCGAGTGAAACAAGATGGCTCTTCATTCATTAGGACGACGCCACATACAAGTTTTGAGTCAACAGTGCCCACACACACACAGAGGCACTGTCTTATGGCCTGCCTTTCGTATCATAGCCGTGTTCCCACAAGACGTAATTTATAGTCTTCCTTCAATTCGCCTAGCCAATATCATGCACACCTCTGCTCTTAAAGAAAGACCTGGAAGTGGCCCAGACTCTGAATGTCTTTGTTCATGAACTGATTGATGGTTTGCTCAGCTTCGTGTTTCATGAAGCGTCCAATGCTGTGAATGGTGTAATGGAAAATATATGTAGATGGACCTTCTTCTTTTGCGACGAGTAGTCTGTTAGAAATTGACAGGTGTTTCGGAGGTGTTTAATGGCTCCATCATCGTATTCCAACAGTGACATTGGCTCGCATTATTGTTGATTCCTGACCCTTGTTCATGAAGGTTGCTTACCTCCTGTTAAAAGCACGACTGACAGAAATGAACGGGCCATGGAGGAATTTTTCGCTCGCACTAGAATCTAAAGGACGTCCTTAACATCGGTCATTATTGCCGGTCATGGGGAAAACATTACGAAGAAGTGATAAATACTACAACACATTTTTTACGCGAAGGAAAAGATTACGCATGCGCCAATTTTACATGTAAAGATACATAGCGAATTTCTCCGATCTTCGTTGACTGTTACAAATACACACCATGGCGTCCAGTCGGGTGGGAGGGGAAGTGATAGCCCTTAAGGCGTCTTGTTCTCCCCTTGCACTTCCCCCCCCTTACTGTGAAAGCTCAGGCTCGCTGATATTTTGCGACCAATTACAACTCTAGTGCGATTTGAACATTTATGGACAAAGTCGAATTTGATTGTCGGTGTTCAGTTTTGAAATGGAACGGGGTTTCATCGGAACTCTGTTGGCGAACAACAAATACGTACGTCCCATCAGATTCGGTTATGGACATCAGTACAAAAACACGAATTTAACGATTTTGGAGCGATTCCACACTAGCAGCATGCCACTCCTGTTTGCCAACCATTAAAATTGGCTCCACGCGAAATTATGCGGTGGGAGCAACAGCATGCTGTAACATTGCGTTCAGAAATAAATAACTTTATGGAGTAAAGTCGTCCTTAATATAGAAATTAAGGTTTATTACCGTTATCGCTATCCTGTGTCAGATTGATCATTGACAGGGGTTCGCGGTGCACAGTTTCATAACCACTGCCCTGTAGGTTTTTTTCCGGTACACTTGGCAGAGATCGGACTGGGACGTTGATGCAGACTCGGGGTATATTTAGCAACAGTTCTGCTCCATAAGGTTACATCAACAAAGTCTAACTCCGTGGGGCAAAGCCCTTCTCGAAAAGTTAGTAGCAGCTGGTCAACAAATTAACAGCCTATTTAGAACCCCGAAGATTCACAGGAATCCGGCAGTGATCCCTATTTTGCGTCAGATAAACCCAATTCTTATCTTCACACTATTTCTGTAAGATCCATTTTTATGCTAACCTCTTATCTACACCTACGTGTCACGAGTGATACCTTCCCTTCGAGAGTTCGCACTTCACATTAATGGCATTTCCTATCTTTTTCATGCGTACTGCACGTCTTGTCCATCTCAGTATCCTTGATTTGATCACTGCAATAATATTTGGTAAAGCGTACAAATTATAAAGCTTGTTATCTCACAAGGGCATAGTCAGAATATTTGACGACAGTAAGATATTAAAATTTCGTTTATTGAAGAATTAAGTGACGCCTGATTGGGGAAATACTTGCTGGCATGCAGTTCAGAATCTTTGGTCTTCCCATCTGCAAGATAAAAATTCAAAGATTGTAACATTCTTGTACAATGGTGTAATTTTGTCTATTTCTTATGGGTGTAAAACGTGGTCTCTCATATTACCGGGTGTTTAGGATGGTATTTGTACCTAAGAGGGGTAAGTTACCGAAAGGCTAGAAAAATTTCATAATTCCATAATTTTCGTCAAATTTTGTTAGGTTGATCATGTGAAGGAGGATGTATCTGGCATTTGGGAAACGAAATATACGTAAAAGAATTTGATTGGAATGCCTGAGGACAAGAGACCGCTCGGAAGATTTAGACACAGGTAGGAGGTTAATATTAAAATGGAGGGGTTGAACAGTTTCGAACACTTAAAGAGAACTACCTGAAAATGACCAGTTAAGCTAGAAATATTTAGTGAATTCTTAATTAACAATGAAGCTGTAATCAAAAATTGTTGCCTAGCTGGACTCTGAACCTACCGTTCAACACAAAAACGGGATGCATCCTTTAAAAATCTTTATATTTTTATATGTTTTAATTATTTTGTTTCTAAATTGGGGTCTGGTAGAGTAGCTTTTCAACATAATGGTAGAAGCATTCCCAGAATGTAGTGTGCCCTTAATTTCTTCGTGGATACAGCTTTCATCAGCTATTTTCGTTACTCATAGCTATATGCAGATAAGTGCTCGGTCTCACCATAGATAATTTACACGTGCTGTGTTGTGCGCGTGTTGGAAAAGATGAATAGCCAAATGGCTGCCCTGATTTAAACCCACAGCGTCAAGTCCTGACTGATCTATCACTGCTGTTTTCATAAATGACGAAGAAAGATTTGCAAGGTAGTGTCGGTGGTAAATTTTGAAGAACTATCCCTAAATTTGAGGCGGAGGAAACACCGAAAATACTTTGTCAATCCAGTTATTCTGCCGCGATTCGAAATGCATAGTTTTCAAATGTAAGTTAGGTACGTTACCACTATGTTGCTGGTTGCAAGTATGTGTTGTTTGATGAGAATTGAATGACACACGCGGATGACTTAAGTGCTTTCCAACCAATAAGGACATATCAACTCACTCAGTAGCAGTACCTGTTTCTTAGAAGTCTGATCAATACGCCTGTTATACACGGTGATGTAACCGGTTCCCTACTTTTCTTAATGGTGTAAGTCTTTCTGTCTGTTAATGTCCAGGTTGTCAGCATCGTGTCGTAGTGTTCGTGTCCAAAGTTGGAGTTAAATTTTTAACAGATCATCATTATGAATGCGTTGTACATAATTTGTATCAGTGGCGATTTCAAAAAAAGTAGGTACCCGGACAGATGCAACACGGTTGTCCATCATATTTGAAGAACCAATTTGTGTTATACCGAAATTATTGGTTGATTTTTCTTAATAATTTAACCATTGGGCTGGTAACTTTGGAACCAATCAAAATGTCTGTCACATTCGACTAGTAGATTCATAAAATCATACCTACTGGTTTCTGAAACTGTGTTTCAAGTAAATTGAATTCTCCGGATTTTTTG